CCTTCCAGAAATTTCTCCCCAATCCCAAAGACTCTGAAGAGGCTCTTGATTGAGGCCCGTAGTCCCGTGTCCTGCTGCAGGATAGGCATCGCTCTGGGAATCGCCACCTCGTACACTCCCTCCCTCCAGTCACGGGGACTGGCTCCCAGTCCAACCTGAGTTTGCCCCTCTTTCTGTTGGATATCGCCAGGAGGTCTGCTTGTGACAACTGAAAGTTATTGGACTGGAGAGTTATGACTTTAGCTTCCCAGAAATGTCTTCCCAACAGCATGAGCAAAGACCACAGGGAAGGAACAGTAAAGGAAAAGGAGGTCAAGGTACAGAAAAAGGCAGAACCAAACGGTGGATGGAGATGAGTCAGAGCCTTGGAACTGTGATGTCAACACTGCCGTCACCCCCATAAACAAGTCCAGAAAGAACATTCTTTTTCTGGTCACAGGCAAGCCTTCAGAAAGCCCTTGGGTTAGCACTGTCTCTGCTTAGCTTCACCGCAGCCATGAAAACTTTACTAGCTGTATTAGTTTGCTACTGCTGCTGCAACAAATGCCTTCAGGCATGGTAGCTGGGAAAGGTTATGGACAACAGTTACACTATTTGTTGCTCTATGTGGTCTTAGTCATTAAATAACTAGGACAATTGTTAGGTTTGAGCATCCTCCACTTATCCATATTCCAAGAAGTTGGGCTAAAATGAAAACAATGTGGAATTAGGATCGTAGAAAAACTCGTCAGCAAGTTACATTATGCTGACGACATACCCCTGCTGGCTGAAAGTGAGAAGGATTTGAAGTACTTGCTGAAGAAGATCAAAGACTACAACCTTCAGTCTGGATTACATCTCAACATCAAGAAAACAAAACTCTCCCTAATTAGACAAATAAACAACATCTTCATAAGTGGAGAAAATTAGAAAGGGATGTAACTGTTCCCTATATAAACATATCCTTTTTGGGAAAAGATCTGGTATAAACTGCAAAGATCACCGTAACCCAAAGAACCATGTTTTCACAGACTTGTCAACACAAACGTCGTCATTTAGCATCACCCCTCAAATCTTGGCATTCAGATCTTGGTAGTTCTGAGCTTCTTCAATTCCCACATGCAAGAATGGGCACCTGCATAACAAAAGTTACTGAAGAGTCTTCCCGCAATCCTGATGCCACAGTTACCCTGTCTTGGGGGGAAATGCAACCGGGGTGGTCCTTAGAGGCAAAGCTTTGTCTCATGTGCTTTGGACAAACTGTGAGGAGGGGCCAGACCTGGAAAGCAGATATTGTATAGGCAAAGTGGACGGTCAGAGAAGGCAAGAATGACTTTAAATAAGACTGATGGACTTGAGCATGCTGGAGGCATGAGGAAGGCACGAGGTGGGCAAGGCTCCGATCTGCTGTTCAGAGTATGACTATAAGTCGCAATCGACTCAATGGCACGTAACAATAGCAACAACATGGACAACTAATGTTTTAAAAAGAGAAAAAAGTCTATTAAGTGAGGGGAAACATAGCCTCTTTAATAAATGGTGCTGGCAAAACTGGGTAACTATTTGCAAAAAAAGAAAATTTGAAAAGAGACTCATACATCACACCATATACAACAACTAACTCAAGATAAATCAAGAAACTTGGTGTAAAACCTCTAATTATCAAGATAATCAAGGAAATATATGAAAATCTTTCCAACTAAATCAACAGACAGCATCATGATGAATGGAGAAAAGATTAAAGTTGTCAAAAATTTCGTTTTACTTGAAACCATAAATCCATGGGCACACCAGTCCAGAAATCCAAAGATACACTGCATTGGGCAAATGACCAAAGACCAAGGATGTCAGTTTAAAGACAAAAGTGGATCTGACTCAACCTTTGTATTTTCAGTTGCTTTGTATTCCTGTGAAAGATGGACTGTAAATAAAGAAAACTGAAGCAGCAGCAACGTCTTTGAATTGTGGTGTTGGCCAAGTGTGCTCAACATCCCATGACAAACAAATCATTCCTGGAGAAAGTGCAATCAGGGGCTCCCTGATAGCAAGGATCTTGAACGTTCACCTCGTCTATTCTGAGCACTGTGTGAGGAGGCACCAATCCTTGAAAACAAAAGACGTTATGAAAAGTGAAAGGTCCGCGAAAGAGAGGAAGACCTTCGAGACAGATTTACACAATGAGTGCAACAGTGGGCTTGAGGATGGTGGAGATTATGAGGATTATGTTATTATAAGGATCTATGAATCAAGAGTCAAATCAGTGACATCTCTAACCTCAGAGTATTGAGCCCTAGCCCACACTTGTAGAATATCTAGCCCCTTGAAGAGCTCGGCCACATGACTTCGCTTGTGCTGTCCCCGAGGACCTCGAGTGACCAGGTCCATAGGAAACTGTGCTCCAGACTCCCGTCTCTCCCCTTAACCTGTTGACTTTACTTAATCCAAACTGGCAGCCAAAGAGTATTCCAATTTCCATATCCCAGCGCACCCAATCACTTGCCTTTTTGGGTCCTCCCCATACCCAACTGTCAATCACTGGTCCCTTGAGCTCCGCCCCAGTCCACGCCCAGCTGTCAATCACTGGTCCTTGAGCTCCGCCCCAGCCCACGCCCAGCTGTCAATCATTGGCCCTTTGAGCTCCGCCCCAGTCCATGCCCAGCTGTCAATCACTGGTCCTTTGAGCTCCCCCACACCCCAGTCCATGACCCACTTTTCACCTCTCCATCACCTTCACTCTAGTCCCAGGGGCACCAGTGCACTTGACAGAGGGGGAAGTGAGAGTTTGCCCGTCGTATTGTCTCCCACATCCCTTGCTCCCCCCAGGCTCAAACTGAGTAAATCATATCTGCAGTTTAACTCTTAATCAAGAGGCCCTTGAGTCTGACTTCGGAGACTCACTTTTATGTCTGCTCAGGTGTCAGGGATGAAAATGAAGAATGTCTCCTCGTTCCACAGCGACGCAGTAAATCACAGAGACTCAGCAGGGACGTGAGACGATATTTCAAGAAGCAAAATGCTCGGGCAGGAACCTGGCACCGAGGCGGCAGGCAGGGAGGAGGGAGCAGAAGGCGCGGAGCTCAGGTGCTGGGGACACCTGCACGCCGGAAGCCAGCTGACACCGAGGGTGCAGTCTCCAGGGTTTACTTTCACAGCCAGGAAAGCTCCCAGTTGAAAAGGCAAACTTCTTCTCTGCAAACCAGACAGGGAGTTCAACCATTCCTGGGCTTCTCAGTTTGCTGAGTTCACCCATCTGCCACACAGTAGTTCATACAACTAAGACTACTTTGATGGCACCTGGTCCCGGGTATCTTCCAAGATGGCATCTTTTCAGACTCCCAGCAACCTGTTCCCTTTTGTTAGTACCCCTCCTTCCTGCTGTTACACTCAGCTTGAATTAGCAGTGCTGGCTCATGCATCTGGACTCATTTTATTTGGTGATTTTGTTGTTGTTGTTATGTGCTGTCGAGTCACTTGCAACTCTCAGTGGATCTCATGTACAACAGCCCTGAAACCTGCTCTATCGTGTGTCAACTTTACCGTCTCTAACAAGCCTATCTTCATTATCCAAGTCACTGAGTCAATCCATCTCATCGAGAGTCTCCCTCTCTTTCTCTGTCCCTCTATCCTTCCAAGCATGATGTCCCTCTCCAAGGACTGATCCCTCCTTGCAACATGCCCAAAGTATGTCAGATAAAGCCTCAGAATCCTTGCCTCCAAAGAGCAGTCTGGCTTCACCCTCTCTAGGACAAACCTGTTTGTTCTCCTGGCAGTCTGTGGTATATCCAGCACTCTTCTCCAGCACCACAGCTCAAAGGCAGTAATTCTCTAGATTCTCTAGTCATTGTGGTGACAGGAGTAAGTAATTCACTTTCTGATGTTGACTTTTCTGCTTCTTGGAGAGTGAACCGTGCCCCCCAAAAATATGTCTTAGATGTCTTAATGCTCTTCCTGTAGATACACTCCTACTTGGAAATCATAGTTTTGTACTGTTTATGAAACCATAGGGAGCCGCACTCTTAATTCAAAGGTTTTGTTGCGCTGGTGGTTTGGATCCAGCAGCAAATCCTCAAGAGAGAGACGTACAATTCCCTCCTATGAGATTTATGGCCTCAGAAACTCAATGGAGGGTCAGTTCAGCTGTGAGTCCTTTCCAACTTAACTGCAATGTCTTGAAGTGAGTTGAATGAAGCCAGGCCAATACAGGGCGTGTTGTAATCCTAATCACTTCTGAGTCGTTAATAGAGGAAGTTAGACACAAAAGGGTACAAATGGAAGGTGGAAAAATACAGTGTGGAAATTGCCAAGAAACTGAGGAATGCCAGGGCTACAGCAACAGAGAGAGTCTTCTTCTAGAGCCAGTCCAGCCTCCGAAACTGTGAGAAAATAAGTGTCTGTTCTTGGAAGTCACCCCCTTGTGGTATTTCTGAAATAGAAGCATTGTCGTGGTGGTGGTGGTGTTTTTGTGTACTGTTGAGTCAGAACCGCCCCATAGCTGACCCTCTGGTGGGTTTTCAGAGACAGTCAACCAAATGGGAGGAGATTGCCCATCCTTCTCCCACAGAGCAGCTGGGGGCCTCAAACCACATGCCTTCAGAATTACAGTGCAGCTTCTTCCCACTAGGCCACTAGAGCTCCCTCAAATAAAATGCTGCTCAGCTCCAAGGTTTTCTGATTTCACTATCACTCACAGAAAGCCCGCTCAGTCATTGCAATGCCTCAGGTCCCCTACTCCCCTCACCTTTGTCAGAAGACTCTTGAAGAGAAACCATGCTATTCACTGGGACCTCGGTGGCCCAGGGGTAAAGAGTTATGCTGCCAACCCAAAAGCATTCATATAGAATCCACTGGCTGCGCCAGGGGAGAAAGACAAGCCTCTTCTCTGTACAATTTACAGCCTGATACTGTATTTTTTTAATGATAAGGACATGCCTGTCTGTTTTTCCATTTGTCTCCCTTAGAAGACTCAGAATTGATTTCTACTTGGCGTCGTGATCGAGGTGTAGGCCCTCCAGCCTGGGACCATGGTGTGTATCCCGTGCATCGTCATTCCAGTTCTGCTCTGGGTCTACAAAAAATTCCTGGAGCCATACTTATACCCTCTGGTAGCCCCTTTTGTTAGTCGCATATGGCCTCAAAAAAGTCTACAGCAACCCAGTGATCAAACTAAAGCCAAAGGAGACTGTAAGGGT